CAGTATTGTTTTATGTAATAAACAATTCTAAGAGAAGAATTAAACGTGTTTAATTCTAGAAATATTGGATTTGAGATACCTCTGGGATACTCAGCTGGCAATACCAAGCAAGCAATTAGATATATTGGCATAGAAACCATAGGGATATCTGTTATTGCAAGGTAGATTGATGAGCTCATTAGCTGGCTGGGAACACATATTGGAGAAGAACAGCATTTGGCGGGAGCCGGTGAAAGAGACCAGGCAGTGTCACAGAATTAGGGATAGGATAATTCAGGAAAGAAAAGAGAAAGCACTTTTAAAGGGGGAATGATTCACTATGTCAAATGTTGAAACAGTCACAATAAGGATAAAAAAATGCCTATTGGATTTGACAATTAGGAGATGATTTGTGTTCCTTGTATTTCCAGTTTAATAGGGAAAATATGAGATTTTGTTATTGTAACATATAGTGTTATGATTACTGGTGAAATTGGTTATTTTTGATGTTCATGAGATTTTATTTCTTCCCTTTGTCCTTTATTATTACTTTTGTTCATGTTTGTGTTAAGCAGTTTGTGTTTTTTCTCAGTGAATTTATATTTAACTCATTGTCTTATTGGGTAGTTGCAAATATTTTCTTCTAGTTTATTATTTGCAGTTTTGACTTTTTTCGTATCTTGTGCCTTGGAATTACAAATGATTATATCAGGGCTGCCATTATTTTCCATGATATCATCGGGATTTCTGTTTTGATTAAAAAGGCCCATTTGGTATAGTTTTTAATTTATAGTATGTGGTGTATAAAGTTAATTATCTATTTGTAAAATTAAGATTATCGTTCTGTCACACCACACACTGAAATAAATTCCAAGTAGAATAGATATTGAAACATGGAAAGAGGAATGGTGGTAGAAGTTTTTTTTTTTCTTAAGGAGCTTTATTGAGATGCATATATTTTTGACATATGCCTGCATCATCATAAAAATCAACATAGTGGACATAGTCATGACCCCTAAAAATTTCTTCTTGTCCCTTTGAAATTCTTGCCTCAACTACCCCACTTTAGGCATCCACTGATCAACTCTGTCATGATACGTTAATTATATTTTCTAGAATTTTATATAATTGTAGTCATATAAGATATGTTTGTGTATATATATATATATATATATATGTATGTATAGCTACAGGGTCACACACATGCACAAATTGCAAATTTGCAAATTGAGAGGGACTTTTGTTGTTTCCAAGTTGAGATTGTTACAAGTAAAATTATCGTAATGATTTGTTTTTAAGTCTGTATAACTGTTTTATTACATTTTGAGAAAATATATAGGAGTGAAGTGAACAGCTCACATCATAATTATATGCTTAACTTTGTAAGAAATTACCCAGATATTTTCCTAAGCAGTTGTGACATTTTAGAGAATAAAATTTATGTGAATTCTTTATACATTTAATGGAATCCCTTATTTAAATCCTCTGGACCTGGAGATTTCTCCTTTGGAAGTTTTAAAAGTATAAGTTCAAAATTATTGATAATTATGTGTTAATTTACATTATTTCATTTAGTAATGTTTGAAAGAACATATTCTGCAGTTGTACATTTTACATTCACCCCACAGTGAAAGTCTTATCATCCTTTATAACATATGATATAATCACTCTTATTAATATGCTTGTTTTCAAGATAAAATAGTATATGATTGTATGTCCACCTATAAATTGATAGTGACAGAATGTTAAACATTGCTAAATTTTGAGTAAGAATAAAATGTTGAATTTTAAAACTAAAAAAATAAATTTATAACATCAAACTCACAAGTAGAACAATTGTAATCACTCTGATTAGGTATGTAGTGGTATCTCATTGTGGTTTTAATTGCTGTTCGCTAATGAGTTAATATTGAACTCATTAGAGAATATTGTATGTATACCATTTTGTATACTTTGATGAAGTGCTCAAATATTCTGTTTTCTACTCATTTGTTTTATTGCTGAGTGGGGTACTTTATATATTCTGGACACAAGTGTTTTATCAGATAAAGGATTTGCAAATATTTTATTTCAGTATGTAACTTTTTCCCGCTCTCAAAGTATTTCAGAAAAGCACAAGCTTTGTTTGTTTGTTTGTTTGTTTTTAATTTCATGAAATCCCACTTACCAATCCCTTTCTTTTAAGAACATTGCATTTAGGAAAGCTTTCCCTAAACTAAAATGGCGAGGCTTTTTCATCTAGGTCTTGAGTTTGTTCTATTCCATCCCTCTGTTGACCTGTCTTGACAGCAGTACCACACCAACTCTCTTGGTTACTGCAGCTTTGTCCTAAGACTTGAAGCCTAGCTAGTGTAAACCTTCCAATTATGTTTTTGTTTTAAAATATTGTTTTGGTTAAGTCTTTTCATTTCCCTGTAAAGTTTTGAATCAATTTATGAACTTCTGTTTTTTACAGGTGTCATGATCATGATCAGTCTGCAGATCAATTTGCTGAGAGTGTACATCTTCATAATAATTAACTTCCTATTCATACACAATTATTTAATTTTCTTAAATGTTGTCAGCAATATTTTAAAGTTTTTCAGTGTCTCTGCAGTACTCTCTTACAAACTCTTGCTTCCTTGCATTTCCCACAATCCAAACTCCATGTTCTCAATTTAGAGAGAGCACTGGTCTCTGTCCAGGCTTCCCTCTGTGTCCTGTGGCCTGCAAAATTATCTCCAGCTTTGGTAATCAGGGACCATCATAGGGTTTACCTCATTTCTTTGTTATACATCTCAGCAATCACTGTTATTCAATCCTGGGTTTCCAACGCCTAGAAAGCCATAGTCTTTTTTTTTTTTTAAAGAAAGATTTATTTTGAAGTCAGAGTTACACAGAAAAGAAAAGGTAGAGAGATCTTCCATCTGCTGGTTCATTCCAAGATGCCTGGAGGGCCATTGTTGAGCCCGATCAAAGCCAGGAAGCAAAAGCTTCATCCAGGTCTCCCACGTGAGTGGGGGGACCCAGTGTATTTTGTGTTTTGATTGAGCAGCTCTAGGCATTAAGCTGCTAGAGATGGAGCAAAGAGCACGAATCCTACTTCCTTAAAGCTTAAAATGGAATTGGGAGACACATACAAGAATACTTACTTAGATTTACTATGTTAAAAAGTGACAAGTTAAAAAAAAGTGCTAATTGCAGAAGAGAAAATAATTAAATAAAAATCAAGAAGAAATGTTGGATAGAGAAAAGCATATTAAAGCTTCATACTCATTAGCCTGGAAGACCTTACCTGTGAAGGGCTTCTTTGATCAAAATGTTGGAGGAATTGAGAAAGATATGGAATAGCATTCCAGGGAGAAGAAACAGTGCAAAGGCCTTGGTGTGTTTGAGGAAAGGCCAGCAATGTTTCTAGCAACCACTGCAGTGCTTGAATGCATGCTCACAAAATTGTAGCTGTTTAGAAGAGTGTTGCTAATGGAAAACCCCGAAATGTGGCTTCAAAGCCTCCTCTGCTTGTGGTGGTCATAGTCTCTCATCCTTAATACCAGGAAATAGATAATAGACTTTTGAGTGTTCCTGCATTTTTCCTTATCATAGTTCTGCTTCTGCAAGGCTTTATTTTTATTTTGGTGCTCCCTATGATGCATTTTCCATGACATGTGTCGACTTTTACTTAATAGTATGTTGGACCCTGACATTTCTTATCACAGTAGCTATTTGAGTTAATTTTGGTGTTTTCAATGTCTGGGCAGTGATCCCTTTCCATGAATGGTGGCATCTGAAAGTGTGTGCACTCAGGCCAGGCTCAGTCTTCTTCAGATAAGGGAAGATACTTATATTAGAATAGATATATGTGTAAGCTAACAGAATATATATATATAATATCTTGGGGATTGGATCCCAGGCTAAATGTGAAATTCATTAAAGCTTTCTGAAGGTAATGCCATAATTTTATGCGTTGATGTATGAAACAAAAAACTTCAGTGTGGAATTACCTAGTTTGGGTGTCATTTTGGTGCTTTTCATTTTTGAGGATTTTGCCTTTCGAACTTTTGGATTAGGGATACTTTATCTGTATAAAAATTTCAATAACAGTTCCTCCTGCACTCCTCCAGCACTCTTTGTAACTAACAAGGCACTTTCGTTTTGCTTTTTTTTTTTTTAACCATAGTTTTATTCTATTTAACTGAACAGATAATGTGCCATGCTATGGAATTTTAAAATAGTAAAATAATGTACAAGAGAAAACCAATTTACTTCTTCTTCTCCCCAATAAAATATTGTTCATGCCTAGAGACAAAAATATAACCAGATTCTTTGATTTCCTTTTGTAAATACAGACTACATGCACATGTTGGTGTGCTCAGTCTACATACCACCCTACTGCATACAAAGCACTTGGACAATCTCTTACACTTGATTCTTACCACATGTTGTGACATAGGTGGTGCTATCCCATGTTACTGATGAGGAAGCTGAGACTCAGAGAAGGGAGGCACACACACACACACACACACGAGAGATCTTCTGTCTAATGATTGCTGTCCAAATGGTTGTAAAAACCAGATCAGGTCAGGCGAAAAGCAGCATCCAGGAACTCCACTCAGCATCCTTGAGGGATGGGGGCCCAAATACTTGAGTCATCTTATTCTGCCTCCCCAGGTACATTAACAGGATTATGGAGTGGAAGCAGAATAGCTTAAACTAGAACCCACATTGATGAAGGGTACGGATGTCAAGGGGCAGCTCAATCAGCTACACCAGAATGCCAGCTCCTGCTGTTGCAATCTTTTGTCTGAATTTTCCTCCTCACCAAGAAATTCCCCATCCTGTACTTTAAGCATGCAAGGCTCCCTAAGCCCTTACGGGGTGGCTAGTATGAATAAAGAAAATCCCACCAGTTCCTTTAGCCATGTTAGTATTCACATGGTACTCTCTAGATGCAATGCTGGCAGACGTGAACTGGTAGGTAGCACTGGAGAGACAAAATTTTAAACTAATTTGTTTCCCGGATATCTTCTCTTCCTCTTGTACAGATCTACTTAGGTCCACCTGAGGAAAGTGCTGCACCCCCAGTGCCTCCACCTCGAGTGACAGCAAGAAGGCACAAACCAATCACAATTTCAAAGCGCTTGCTGCGGGAAAGGACCGTGTTCTATACTTCTTCCCTGGACGAAAGTGAAGGTCAGTACTGAGATTCACCTTTAAGTGATTAGGGACAAAGGTGATGTTGAAGAGCAGAGATGCTGGCTGGCTGCTTTTCTCCATATAAAGGTAGACCTTTTCTGGCTTTGGGGGGGGGTGGTTAAAAGCAGCCAGGGGAAACAAATTTTATAGTTTGTGCCCAGCAAGGGAATTAATCATTTGCCTGTGAATAGTATTAGAATGAGCTTATAAAGGAAGCTCTATGATCTCTTGTGAGGCCGGTGGAGAATCCAAGATGTTCTTAGATCCATATCTTCAGTACTTTGAAGTGGGTGAGCAAAATGCTTTCTGCATGTTTTTTTAAGATTTTTAAATTCAAATATGGCAATCATGGATTGAAGAGCTGCTGTGAGCCAGGTGCTGTGCTAAATACTGGGTGAAGATCAGATCCCTTCTCTGGCCTCAATGAGCTCACAGCATAAAGGAAAACAGTAATGTGAGCAAATAGATGGCATCTGATGGATAATTGCTGGTACAGAGACCTGATCATTGTAAATGAGCATCTGTCCCTACTACTCCACGGAGACCACTTTTGTCCAGATTGTCAACAGTCTCCTTGTGGCCAAACTAAATCACCACTGTAGTCATCCTACTTGGCTAGTGAGCACTGTTTGATTCAGTTGATTGAATTTTCCCTGAAATTTCTGTTCACTTGGCTCTCAGGACACCAAACTCTCCAGCTATCTGGTTCCCTTCTGCTGTTTTTCATTCTCTCTGTCACTTCCAAATATTGGGAGATTCCGTAGCCTTCTTAGCCTCCTTCTCTGTTCTTTTTGTGTGCGATCTCATTAATTGTTTTGGTTTTAAATATTATTTAAATACTGAAGATTATTTCAAAATTTATATTTCGAACACTGATAGCTACCCTCTACGATCTACTGTCTACTACCAACTCCCTGCTCAGCACTTGTCTTTGAACAACCCATGGACATCTCAAATTTAAAATGTGATCCACAATGCTTGAGTTCTCCTTTCTCCATCTAAGTAATTGGTGTTAACAGTTCCCCAAGGTCAAGAATTTTACAGTCATCCTTAACCATCCATTCCCCCTTTTCTCTCCTATCTAAATCCATCTGCAGTTCCTGGCATCTCTCCATGCACGTTATGGACTGAATCCCTCTACTTCCAAGCACTATCACCATGCTTGAACCATCAACATCTCTTAACATGTGGCATCCTTGCTTGCCCTCTTGCTGTGTGTAATCAGTTTTCAACAGCAACAAGCAAAATATACATTCATTGAAAAAATGCAAATCACGTAATTTTCATTGCTGCAAATTTTCAGTGATCTCTCTTGACATTTAAAATGAAATTTGGGGCAGGAGTTTGACATAGTTGATAAAATGCCACTTAGAGTGTCAGGATTTGAGTCCCGGCTGTGCTATGTTAGAGGCAACAGGTGCTGGCTCAAGTCGTTGATTTCTGCCATCCACATAGGTAAACCAAATTGAGTTTCTTGGCCGTGAGCTCCAACCCTAAATATGTGAGCATTTGGAGAGTAACCAGAGATTGAGATCTGTCTCCCTCTCTCTCCCTCGCCCCTTCTCCCTACCCCCCCCCTCACCTCTCATCCTTCCTCTCTCCTCTCCCTTTGCTTTTCTAACAGATAACGATGAATAAAATTCACATTTTCTTCTGCATTATGTACACTTGCTTATGTCTCTGACCATCACCGCCTCATTGTCCACTTGGCTCTGTTTTAATCTCATTGGTTCTGCTGTTTGTTTATGTGTCAAACTTACCAAGAGGCTTTGCACTTTCTCTTCTCTTGGCCCTAAATATTCTTCCTCCAGACCTTTACAAGGCTAACTGCTTCATTCAGATCTCTGCAAGGAACCATCTACTCATAGCTGCCTTCTCTGAGCACTCGAGTTAAATACTTCTTTATTTTCTTCCAGTCACTCCATGACCCTTTTACTTACAGCTTTATGTTATTCATATCACCAGCTGCTATTGGTTTACTTTCTGTTTACTATCTGCCTTTCCCTTTAGTATGTGAGAACAGTTTTATCGCTAGCCACTAAGCCCATGAAAAATGTGTGGTATGTGTTGAATAAATACAATCATGAAGGAATAAAGAAGTTTAGAAGATCAATTCTTTCCTAAAGAAGGTGAGCAGGCATTCAAGAGAAACTAAGGGAATATTGAATGCCTACCAATACTTGTTCCATAATCTAATTTTACAGAATAAATTTGTTATTTACTTATTTGTTTACAGTCTCTCAAAATAGCAGTCCTATTCCAGCAGATATTTTGTTTTCATTTTTTGTACATAGCAACTGTACAGTATCTGGCACATAGTAGGACCTCAGTAATTAAGTGCCATAGATGAATGAACTGGGTGGCAGTAGACTTAAGGATTAAGTTTAACTAGCATCATGGCCACCAGCGTGCTGAGTAACTTGAGCTAGTCACTTCTTTTCTTGGGATTTCAATTTGCTTCTCTATGTGATGAAGGTTTTGTGCCAAAAAAAAAAAAATCCTGCAATGAGGTCACTCAGTCTAGACATTTTTATTTTTATTTTTAACTTCTTTGAAAACTGCAATATAACTCACATGTCATAAATTCACCATTTTAATGCATATACTTCAGGAGTTTTAATGTATTTTGTTCAACCATCTTATCACAGAACATTTGCATCATACTGAAAAGAAATCCCATACCTTTTAATTCCCTTCTTTTCCCAACTCCTGGCAAATACTAATCCACTTTGTGCCTCCATTCTGGACATTTTGTATGGATGGAATTATATAATACACTGTCATTTGTGACTGGCTGCTTTCGCTTAACATTCTTTGTTCAAGATTCATCCACATTGTAGTATATATCAAGAATTTATTTTGTTATTGCCAAATAGTGTTCCGTTGTATGAAGTTACCATTTTTGTTTTTAAAGACATTTTTATTTATATTGGAAAGTCAGATATATGGAAAGGAGGAGAGACAGAGAGGAAGATCTTCTACTCACTGGTTCACAACGGTCAGTGTCAAACCAATCTGAAGCCAGGAGCTTCTTCTTCTGGGTCTCCCACATGGATACAGGATCCTAAGGCTTTGGGCTGTCCTCCACTGCTTTCCCAGACCACAGGCAGGGAGCTGGAAGGGAAGTGGAGCAGCTGGGATTAGAACCGGTGCCCATAAGGGATCCTGATGCATGCAAGGCGAGGATTTTAGCCACTAGGCTACCAAGCTGGGCCATAAGTTACTACTTCCTCATCAGTTGTTTATTCATTGGTTGATGGAAACTTGGGTTATACTCACATTCTAACTCATGTGAATGATGCTGTTATGAACATTCACGCACAGCTTCTGTGTGAATATATGTATCTTTTTAAATGATCATTATCAAGGGTTTATACAAGGGCCTAGTATTACTGAGTCATATTTTACTATATATTTATACGTTTGAAGAATAACAGATTTGTTGTACTATTTTGATTTTCCACCAAAAAGTGGATTCTGGTTCCAATTTCTCCACATTGTATCCAATACTTGCTATAATCTTTTTTGTTTTGTTTTGTTTTTATTTAACTCATCCTAAGTGGGTGGGAATCCGTAGTCTCATTTAATCTTCAACTGCATTAAAAAAAAAAGAGAGATGTATTTATTTATTTACTTATTTATTTGAAAGTCAGGGCTCCAGAGAGGCAGAGAGATATATGGAGAGAGACAAAGAGAGTTGTTGATTGATCTTTCATCTGCTGAATCACTTTCTGGATGACCACCATGACCAGGGCCTGGGCCAGACCAATGTGATTTTATCTGGATCCCCCATGTAGATTTCAGGGACCCAAATGATTGGACCATTTTACTCTGCCTTTTTCAGGACATTAGCAGGGAGTCGGATCAGAAATGGAGCAGCCGTGACTCGAAGTAACAGACATAGGAATGCTGGCAACTTAGGCAGTGGCTTTACCCACTGCGCCTCAATGCCAGCCCTTTGAACAACATTTTATGGTGAAGGTTGAGTAGTTTACACAATGAACACAGGGACTAAATGACAAAATAGCAACTTTGTATCCATTTCTCCTATCCCAAAGTTCATTTGTCTATTATAATATCCAACTTCCTATAACCTGTCTGAACACTGTTCTGAGAAGGAAGTAAGCTTTTTAACCACTGATCTTCACTGGTAAATACTTAAAACTTCATAGGTACATAGAATTTCAGCAGGTATTTTTTTTTTTTTTTACCATGATCATGGACTGCCTCGCACCTCCGTAACAGCTCTGTATGTTCCATCTCTAATATCTCTAGCACCTGTCTGCTTTTGCTGATGCTGCTCCAATTGGAATCCTTCTAGATGTTCTCCCTATATTCAATCTCTGGCACATTCTACCTTTCATTATGAACTTAAGGAGAGAATCTAAAAACACAGATTCACTAAGTCATAGCCCTCCTCGAAAAAATTCATTGTCCTTTAGTGTTCCAAACATAGAACTCATATTCCTGAGTGTAGCATTCTTGGTCTGCAGAATATAGGCCCAGCCTGTCTTAACAACGTCATCTCCAGCTATTTGCGTCTTTCATCTTAAATTGGTCCCTGTGCGCAAGCCAAGCTAAACTTTTAATTTTATTTCATTATTTCACTTTTTCTTACACAAAGTATGACCTTTCCCTTATCCCAGTTGCTCTTTGTCTGAAATATCCTTTTGGATTTACTCCCTTTATTCTAATTCTTTAAGACCCAGCTCGAGTCACCTCTTTCAAAGACCTCCTCCCACTTCTGGGAATATATCCAAAGGAAATGAAGCCTGCATTTGGAAAGGATGCCTGTATGTCCATACCTATTGTAGCACTATGCTCATTAGCAAAGATATAGAATCACCCTAGAAGTTCATCGGCTGATGACTAGATAAAGAATGTGCTAGAGGTGTAGTCTGCTCTCTCATAAGATTGAAATCCTGGTATTTACAGCAAAATGAATGAAACTTAAGATCATTATGCTAAAGTGAAATAAACCAGACCTAAAAAGGCAAATATCACATGCTTTGTCTTATTTGTGGTAGTTATTATAGAGTATAAAAATTTTGTGGGTGGCACATCATTTGGTATTTAGTTATAAATATTGCTTCACTGAATCATATCCTGTAAATGTCAATATACTTGCCTTTCCAATCTAATTGTCACGAGTTTCACACTGTGATATTAGTATCTACTTTCAAGAAAAAAGTAATATAGATGGATACATAATGTCTACATTTGAAGGAAATGTAACAAAAATGATAAAGTGTTAATTTTTAAAAATGCAAAAAAAAAAAAAAGAGAGATGCCTTCTCCAGCCTTTCCATATAGAGTAAGTAGTTTGTTACTCATAGCATTTGTTTGCATGATTGCATTTGAGTTACACTAAGTAATCTTTTTGTCCTTCTGGAATAGTATGTAACCTTTCAAAATTTCTTCCTCCCATACATAGAAGTGCGATCTTGAGTTAAAGGGTTAGCTACAGGTGGCTTCCCTGACTGAACCGAATTTGTTTCCAGTGCCTGCGCTTTTTGATGCCATCGGCTTGTTTTCCTGTGGAAGTGGATGCTGAGTTAGAGAAAGGGCACTGTACTTGTAGTAACTAACAGGAACATTTCAGAAAGTATATGGCCTCTGGAGACTGACTACAAGATTTGAAACTTGACCCTGCTGCTTATTAGTTTTGAGTAACATTGAATCTCATTGAATTCCTTACAGTTCCTTAACTGTAACATGGAGCTTCTTGCTTTATACAGTGGTATTAAGGGTTCTGTGAGCTAACCCATGAGCTCAGAGAATGGTACATGTGATCATTGTTATTATTGTCTTTTTCACTATTATTAGTTTTATTCTGCATCCTTAGAATTAAATATTTTCTCTGGCTGAGATGGCCTTGTTAAGACTGGTCCTAGCATCTCTTGTTGTCCTGGGCTAGGAGAAGATCCTTTCACATGTGGCCAGGCAGGAGCCTCCGTAAGACAGTCTATTAGCGTTGTACCATTTGCATTTTGTTGAGATGTGGATGACACTGTTTTGGCCTATAGGAAACAGGCAGATCTTGTCTTCTCTACAGAACAGGGTTAAAATTCCCAAAGGTCTTTGCACCATAGGAAGAAAAAAATCAGATAGGAACTTGGAACCAGTGTGTCAGGCCTAAAGCATGTAGAGGAATGAATTCATACCATGATATATTTCACTGCCCTGGGAAAGTAGTGGCAGTAGTGGCTTCTGCCACAATGCATATCCTGGGAGCCAAGTGATCCAGTACTGATGGGATTTTTGTGCTGCTGTCCCTGTCATTTTTCATGAACCTTGGGTACTGTTTTACTTGACTGGAGCAGTCCAAATGCAATTGTGGTACAGTTAATAAAAGAAACCTTGGGTATCTACTCTGCAACAGACTAGAGAACTTAACCCCCCTTTGGACTCAGCCAGCTTAGCAGTGGCCACAGGGATTATTGACAGATTCTTGGGAAAAAGAAAACTCAGGGGGAAAAGGCTTTACAGTAAGACTTAATCATATGGAAACTTGCTTCACAGTCCACTGGGAGCGTAGTAATGCAAACTGTAGCTTCTTATTATTGAGGGTTTATTATGCACCCAGCATTGAAATCCATATATCATCTCCTGTTATCCATACTACAAACTCATTATTCCCATCTCCATTTTATTGATGAAAAAGTTGAAATATAGAAAAAAATATGGAAATTATCTACTTTCCCATGGCTGGTAAATAGCGAAACTCGAATTCAGACTCAGACTTCTGGTTCCAGACCTTGCATTTCTTTTAACACTTTCAAATAAAAGCACAGGTTGGAAAAAAATAAAAAAGATAATGAATCTCCATTGTCTCAACATTTGTCAAAATCTCTCCAATCTTGCTTCATTAATACCGTACCAATTCACCCAACCAGAACATTTGTAAATGTTTTAGTGTGTATCCCTAATGGATACTCTTCAAAGCAAAACCACAATAGCATCATTAAACCTTAAAAAAAAAGGGGGGGGGGCACTATCATAAGGTGAGTTAAGTTGCCACCTGCAATGCCAGGATTCCATATTGGCTCCAATTTGAATACCAGCTGTTCCACTTCCAGTCCATCCACTGGGAAAGCAATGGAAGATGGCCCAAGTGATTGGGCCATGGCACCCATGTGAAAAGGCTCCTGGGTTCTGGCTCCAACCTGGCCCAGCCCTGGCTATTATGGCGAGTTGGGGAAATGAACCAGCCAATGGAATGTATGTGTGTGTGTGTGTGTGTGTCCCATTCACTAACTGTGCCTTTCGGATGAATAAACAAATCCTTTTAAAAAAGATTTATATATATTACTTGAAAATCAGAGTTGCAGAAAGAGAGGGAGAGACTGAGAGAAAGGGGGCAAAACAGAGAGAGAAAGAGAGAGGAGAGTGACAGATGAATCTTCCATTTGCTAGTTTACTCCCCTAATGGCCGGCCACAATGGCCAGAGCTGGGCCAATCTAACGCCAGGAACTGCTACTGGGTCTCCCACATGGGTGCAGGGTCCAAAGGATTTGGACCATTTTTCACTGCTTTCCAACTTAATAGGATGCTGGATGGCAAATGGAGCAGCCAGGACTGGAACTGGCACCCATATGGGTTGTTAGCACCACAGGCAGAGAAATGGCATACTATGCCATCACACTGTCCCCTGTATAAATATTTTAAGAGTTATTTATTTTTATTGGAAAGTCAGGAATACACAGAGGAGAAGAAACAAAGAGGAAGATTTTCCGTTCTTTGATTCACTCCCCCAGTGATCACAACGGCCGGAGTTACGCCGATCCAAAGTCAGGAACCCAGAGCTGCTTCCGGGTCTCCCACACAGGTGCAGGGTCCCAAGGCTTTGGGCTGTCCTTGACTGCTTTCCCAGGCCACAAGCAGGGAGCTGGATGGGAAGTGGGGGCAATCAGAATTAGAACCGGCACCCATATGTGATCCCAGCGCATGAAAGGCACGAACTTTAACCACTAGGCTACCATGCTGCACCCTATATAAATATTTTTAGAAAGCTACAATGATTTCTTTGCATCAACTGTCTAATTGGCACAGAAATTCTTATTTTATCTTGTTAAACTATCAGGATCCAAGTAAGATCCATGTATTATAACTGGCAGATACATCTTTTAGGACTCATTTTGCCTACCACAGCCTGTGATGTTAATGGCTACTCTTGCATCTAGGATTTTCATTATTAGAAAAATGATAGTTTCCTCACAGGAAGCATTCGTGATCTGGAGTTCCCTGACCATTTCAGGGAGCTGTGTGAATGATTAAAAATTGGTTTTAAAACTTTGACTATATTTAGATAAGTTAATTTTTTAAAGGAAGGAGTCCCTGGCTCTCCTGAGGGTCTCAAATCTGTCAATAAGATGGAGAAATAGGGCCCGACATGGTGGCCCAGTGGCTAAAGTCCTCGCCTTGAACGCGCCAGGATCCCATATGGACACTGGTTCTAATCCTGGCAGCTCCGCTTCCCATCCAGCTCCCTGCTTGTGGCCTGGGAAAGCAGTTGAGTGCGATCCAAAGCTTTGGGACCCTGCACCTGCCTGGGAGACCCCAAAGAGGCTCCTGGCTTCTGGCTTCGGATTGACTCAGCTCCAGCCATTGCAGCCACTTGGGGAGTGAATCAGTGGACGGAAGATCTTCCTCTCTGTCTCTCCTCCTCTCTTTATATCTGACTTTCCAATAAAAATAATTAATTTTTTTAAAAAAATGCAGAACCACCATTATGTGTATACTAGTGTCAGAGGAAACTAGAACACAGGGTTAGAAGAAGAGCATAAATTACATAGTTGCAGTGGCCGGGGGTGGGGGGGTCTTTCTGGGAATTGTGAAATAAATTAAATTCTGTTAGATTCATTAACTTGACATTTTGTGGACCTTATCAAATTACCTTTGAGAGAGATAGTCAAGAATTAAATCTCTTTTGAATTACAGATCCCTTTAAAGGAAACATCTTGGTGTATTGTGATTTACCAATTGTGGTGGTAGAAATTCTGCTGAGATCTTGATTTAAAACATGGATAGGATTTGAGGAATGTGGAGGCTCATTTTGTAGGGTATAGTTAATTTGTACCACAGTGACAGCTCCCTTGAAAATGCATATGGGTTTTCTCAAGTATATTTCCAAATGAAAAGGTCGTCAAAGTTATTATTAATCCTGTCTCTGTACTAATGTTTACCAGATGAAATCCAACATCAAACACCCAATGGTACAATCGGCAGCAGCCAAGAGCCCCCCAAGCTGCCACAACCCCTCCGACCACTGACTCAGAAGAGTGGCGATGCTGAGCCTGGGAGGAAATCTCCAAACAAGCCTCTTTCTGATGGCAAATTGGAGCCTTGCCCTGAGGTGGATGTAGGGAGAATGGTGTCTCGGCTACAAGATGGAGGGAACAAGGTTACACCGAAGGCCACCAATGGGCCTGTGCCAGCCTGTGGGCCCACCAAGACCCCCTCTTTCCAGATAAAGAGACCACCTCCCCGACCCCTGACACAACAAAAGGAGGGTAAGTACATGGAAACTATATGGAAACTTAAACTAGCCCACTGCTTTGCAGTCTGAGAGTGGAGATAGATTTCAGTGGAAATCAATTACAATTTCCTCTCACTAGTATGGAAATGGTGACTAACCAACCATTAGTGATAGTTACTATGATGTAAGCTCCAGTAGGGGGGGCTATTGTTTACTATTTTTGTTTGTATCTCAAGTGTCTGGGACAATGCCTGGCTGGTGTGTGGTAGGTCCTGGTTGTTTGTGGAATGAGTGACTGATAATATTATTGGTTAGTATTAATGGTAGTGTTGCCATTTGCTAAGTGTCTGTTTTGTGCTAAAATCTGGCACTGTGCTAAATTCTGACACTATTTTTTTTTTTTAACCTTATGAACCCACTATGTAGAATGTATTGTTCTTGATTATTTTCCCCGTTAGGAAACTGAAGATCTGAAAGATAAATGACTTACCACCAGTAATTCACAGTTTGTTATTGGCAGAGCTGGGATCTAAATCTCACCTTGTCTAGCAGGTGCCAAAGTCTGTTCTTTCCAACCAAGGACGAATTATCATGTTACTTTGCTATAAGAAGATTTGTTATTTTATTTTATTTTATTTTCCTATAAGAAGATTTGAATCTGTCAATTTTTGTTTTTCTTCTTCTCATTTTTCTGGTTTGGGAGAAATAGGGACAAATGGGCATAACATCTGTAAACCTCCTAACTTTGGAAATGCTTACACATTCAGGATGTGCCTGACTTTGGCAAATTTAATTGGCTACTGCACATGGTGATCCATCTTGAAAGGTTCAGGTTAAAGCAATAGGGAGTTGGGAATATAATTCCATGGTATGATACCATGGAAAGAAAAATGGATTTTGCTATCATGAAAGCTTGGATCCAAATTCTAGCTCTTTTACTTTGTAGCAGGATTACCTTTTAGAAACACGCTTTATGGGTTTATGTCCTATCCTGTTCTAAAAAGGATTTAAGGCATTTCACAATATGGCCAAATATAAAAACCTAAAAATAGTAAGAATAATTCATCTTGCAGGTATTTATTGAGTGCTGAGTGTGTCTGGCCCCTTTCTAGATGCTTAGAACATAGGAATAAGTAAGATATCTAAGGGCCCTATCCTCTTGAGGCTTAGCTCAGACCTTAGCAAACTATAGCTTAAGGGCCAGATCAGATCCATTGCCTCTTATTTTTAATGTGGCTTGCAAGCTAAGAATGTGTTTGCATTTTAAATATTTGGAAAAAAAAATTAAAACATTTCATAACACATAGAATTCGAATTTGTGTTTATCGATAAATGCATGCTTCCTCATTTACATAGTGTCTGGGGCTGCTTTTATGCCACAACAATTGTGTAATCACAAGAGTTACAACAGAGATCGAATGGCCTACAAAGTCTGAAGTACAAGGAGGGTCTTCAAAAATTTGGGGGGGAAATGTGTGTTATGTGAAAGCAGTGCATGGATCTCAAAAATTCTTGTACCAAAATAAACTTATCACATGTAACAATCTCAGCATGAGCTTAGGTATCTCAGAGAACAATTTAGTAAAAGATGTTCTTTGAGCGATCCACTAAGTAATGGAAACTGTGACTTCTCTGGCTTGACCCTCTGATATATCTAGTGATTGAATCGCTTTCATGTTGGTTTCCGTATGTGCAAAATGGGAGAAGCAGTTCCTGCATGGAATTATTGGTATGATTAAAAGGAATAACAAATAAAATATCTGGCTCATAAGCAGCATTCAAAATATGACTATGAGTGCCCTCCTGTTCCCCCTTGCCTAAGATCTGTCTCTTCTGGGAAGTAGCCAAAAAAGCTGGACTACTTTGTAGACATCTGCTTTGGTTTATAAGTCAGATATTGACCTTCATTATCTAGCTGGTGGAAAGTTGGGCAACTCAACTTGAACTCATCACAGTAAAATCTGTCTTGCCTGTCGCCAGACCTTGAGATCAGCCAGATCCTATCCACTCAGCACACATAGTAACTGAGCCATCCCTATCAGCTCTGCCTTCACCGTCTTTGAAAACCCAGCAGTATTTTCCTCTTCCCCCCTGTCTCCATGGTCTTGCCCCTGGCTGCTGGCACCAGCTGCTCTCATCTGATGGTGTCCATTAATGAAAGTACTGATCTGACTCGTTCAGTATCAGCAAGACTATCTGAAATAGTGCCGCAGCATTGCCCGTGTTTGCTTTCTGTTCTATATCAGTCAGCAACAGGCTGGCATGATGCAGCCTTTTTCAAAGCCCCATGCTGGTAGTTTGGGCCTTGCTGGAGAATTAACTGAACCCCTGGTGTAGTTGCTTCTTTGAAACTTATTCTTCCCGCTTACTCCTCCTCTCTCCCTCCTTCTCCATTTTGGCTGCCACTCCAGGGTAGATTCCTGAGCATCAGAATAGTTATCAATTAAGCAAAAGCTGCAAACGGCTCTGATCCTGAGATGCAGCTGAGAGTTCATTAGCCCATCGTGCTGGCCAGCAGACGCAGTGGGGGTCCCAGAGGGAGGGAATTATCTGTTACCTCTGCTGACCCACTATGCACCTTGTTAACCCTTTTTTGCTCTGCTGCCGAGGGTTTCACCTGCCTTCCCGAGGGTCAACACACAGGCTTCATTGCTTCAGTGATCCGAGTGTGCCATGTTGCTGCCCTCCACCTTCAGCCTTTCCAGTGACCCAGCATTTGAGCCGAATGGAGATCCTGCATTTTTTTCTCAGCAATTACAAAGAACGATGCATGGCGCGTGCCAAATTGCTCCCTTCTATGACTGTCAACTTTACAACAAAATAATTAATGTTTGCTGACAGAATCTTTTCAAATGCCTTCCCTCTTTTTTTTTTTTTTTAATTCCAGACATAGATCTGGATTCTTTCTCTGCTTCTCTCACATATCATCATTGTGCTAGGCATGGGATGCTGGTTGTACTCTCTGCATTTCATAGATGGAGAAACCGAGACTTAGAGATGTTCATCAACTTGCAGTCACGCAGGCTGCAAACTCCAGAAATGGGCTTGAATTCAAGCTTCCTGGCTCCAGCATCAGGCTTTTATTTTCCCTTTTAACCAGATTTTTCTCGCTTTAGTTGTGTTAGCCACTTTCCCCTTTCTAGTGTTCTAAGAAGCACTCGCTTCGGCATGTCCATTTAAAAAAAAATATATATATATATGTATATATGTGTGTATATATATAAAACCATCCTTTATTAGACCTAGATTTGGAAAGGACAAGTAACTTGCGCAGGTGTCTTAGGCCCTTGCTTTGGGGAATGAAGAGGGAGAGGGACTATATCCCGTCTACTTGTATTTGTGTCTTCATTTATTTGGGCATATTGCTATGCAGTGGGAGAGATAAAGATGAGATGTTATGATCTCTGCCTTTCAGAGGTTCACGGTGAAGCTAGCATGCAAGAAGCCAGGTCCTGCCTAGTGTCACACATGTTACGGGAGGGAAAATAAACTCCATGAGGGGTGTGGAGCAAGCAGTTCTTACTTGTGCCTGAAGCATTGAGGTAACAGTGGCCAGCACACCACCATCTGGGATCCTATGACATGGCCGTAGAAGCCTTTCTTAGTTCCTTTCTCCTCTGTTTGCTGGGAAGAAAAGACTGCATCTGGTGGAGATAACATACAAGCAAGGCCTTGCTCAGTCACAGGGCCATTAATTCTGCACTGTGGTGACTAATGCTATGAGTGGCATTTGCTCTAAAAGTATTAGGAACAGACTTGCTCTTGCAGTAATGGGCGTTGCTGGTCCTTATCCAGATTTGCCTGTTTGGACTCATGCTTTTATAATCTACTCTTTGGTTTTTATTCTCTGCTTTTCCTGGAACCTAACTCCAGATTGTTCCACAAGGATAATTAATGGCTAAGGTAGAAGGAAGACTTTAAGGTGAATGTGGAGGAGTGTCATAGAAAGAAAGAGAGTTCTGGAAGACTAGGGGAATACATAAGAAAGATCTTGCCCCTATGCTATGCCCTTGTGTTGGTGTAAATGGGTATGGTGAAAGGAGAAAGTCACTTTATGATTGAAGACAGACGACCATCATGTAACAAGAAACCTGTAAATGCTTTGCTTCCATGTTTATAGCCATTTGATAGTGAAAAGAGAGAGGAAGCAGGTCATGCTACTTAGGGAGAACAGATCTATAGTAACATACAGATTGTGGACCAAAGTGAAAATGAAATTAAAAGGAAGATTATATTCTCAAGAGGCCTTTCAAAGTCCAGACTCAAACCCAGATAGGAATTTGACTTGAAGCTCTGCTATGAAGCCTTGGGGAAGTCCAGGCTGTGAGTCTTCATTTTCTTGTTTGCAGAATGAGGATAATTATGCACATAAGATTGCTCTAATAATAGAGTGAAACATCTGAGTGGCTGATGCATCGTGAATACTCAGTCTTCACCATTGCTCTCTTTTGTAGGAGGCTATGGCTAACTCCATGCTCCTTGTCAGGTCACCTTCACTTCTTTCATCCTGTTTTCCCAAGTGTTAATGGGAACAGTGCCTCCACTGCCAACAAGGTTTTTATGGGGACTAAATTAGATGACGAATACAAAGCATTTGATAACATAATAGAGGACGAAGAAGTGGTAGTGCTACTTAGAGAACAGCCTCTTAGGAAATAGCCTGAAAGATGCCTATTCTTCTGTGTTCTGGAACTGATGAAAAGCCTGAAGCCCCAAATGCAATTGTTATGAAAGACACCACAGCAATCTCTTCTGCCCTCAACCTTTCTCTGACCGTGTAAAACTTCCAGAAAGAATTGTGCTGTTGCTGAGAGAAAAGTGCATGGCAGTATTCTTGAATGCCCATCCATATCCAGCCAAAAACCTCATTCCATTCATGAAGCCTTCTGGCAACCTTGCCCCAGAGAACACCCCTAATTTCATTTCTTTTGGCAACCAAGTTTCTCCCACTTACATGGATGCTGAGATAAACCGTTCATACTTATTTCCCATGAGTATACCATATATTCCAAACTCAGCTTTGATTTCCTGAAGGATGGACATTGTCTCAGGACACTTGTTTGCATTGCTTGTGAGAGAGTGTGGCTGGGCTCAAAGAACACCTCGTTTCAGAATATCTCTAAAACTTGGGCATATGATGTTTGTGCTTTTCACAGATATCCCAACTTGATATTCAGAAGGGAAAACTTTGTCCATTGTGTTTCCAATACACTAAGTTACATTTTTCTTTACTCAGTGTTTGCTGAATGTTCACGAGTTACATGTGAAAGACTTAGGATTTGACAATTCAAAAATGAATCACACGTGGATTTTGCTGTCATGTTCCTCCCATGCTAAAAGACAGAGCCACCAAACAAAGATCCAGTGTACAGAATTCAAAATAACAGAGTCAGAGAAAGGAACTTGGATCATGTTGTGTTTCCTAAGCGACACAACACTGAAGTTGAATCAAAAGCTGATGTAAATTGGAGCTTGTGGGACTAGAACAAAGGGCATCTGGGAAAGAGATGATTAATTGTAATATATATATGCAGGACAATAAATAATGATGTAGGATGCGAGCAGAAGCATGGTGGGATGTTAGATCAGAAAGGACATTGGAAGCCAAATGGAAGAGGATACGGAATGCCAGGGTACATATTTTGGGTGTTTTTTGCTGGCATCAGGGAGTCAAGAAATAAAATCTTGGACTCACACACACATATGCACAGAATTTGTTTCTAGGGTACTCCAAAAGAAGCATATGTAAATCAGCAGGGAGAGACAGAGATGTATCGAGGTATATCATACGTTCATTCTTATTCTTCTAGAAAACAGGTCAATCCGCATGTTGTATTAGTAGCTAAAGTGCAATTGTCACAAAAGAGGCAACAGCTGCTGAACATCATACAAGTTAGTTTAGCATTAGAATGGACTGTTCAGGCTGGCAATATGATGTAGTAGGCTAAGCCTCTGCCAGCGGCACCGGCATTGCTTTTGACCCCGGCTCATGATCCAGCTGCTCCACTTCTGCTTATGGCCTGGGAAAGCAGCAGAGAATGGTTCAGATGTCTGGGCCTTGAACCCATATTGGAGACCTGGAAGAAACTCCTGGCTTCATATTAGCCCAACTATGGCCATTATGGCCATTTGAGGAGTGAACCAGGAGATAGAAGATCCCTTGCTTTCTCTATGTGTTTCCTCTCTGTAACTGCCTTTCAAATCAAAATAAAAGCAATAAAAATCTCTCCCCTTCCCCTTCAGTTTGACACTGGGTTTTAACTGTGATAACTGTGAGTGAAAAATTTGAGGCAACACTCATTGGGTATTTCAGCTTAGAAAACCCTTTGCTCCTACTTCAAAGCTTGACTTACAATGAATCATCCAGTTGAAGCTCCCAGTAAAGTGTGTAGGAAGATGGCAGGCTAACGATAGTTTTTTTTTTTTTTTTTTTTTTTTTTTTTTTTTTTGCCAAGGACGCAGGTTAATGTCCATTTGGACACCTTGGGAATTAATGATTCATATTTCAGGGATGTCATCTGGTGCTCACCAGGGGGAATGGTAGGCCAAGGATGGACACAGAGTCAGGTAGAAATGTTTAATGGCTCTATGCAATGCAGTACGTCCTTTCTGTCTGATTGCCCTATTCCCACCATCACTAATCAGTGGAAATGGGGCATTGCTGTCAACAGCCTAATGAACCAATGGCATGTGCTGAGTGCTTCTCAACCTTGGCTGTACATAACATCACCAAGTCCAGGTCTCAATCAGCTAAACAAGGATCTCTGAGAATGGGGTGCATGTATGATACAATTCTGAAGCCCCTCACTTCTTTCTGAATTGTTTGAAAAACACTAGTAGTTGGGGCAATATGGATTTCAGAAATCAGAAGAAAAAAATGTATATATATATATGTATTGCTGATAAACTCTGAGGTTACTGCTCATTGTGTAGTTTTTGTTTCCTTGATAGCACTTTCTGCAGGATTCTGGCCAATGTCATGAGAAAATGTGCATAAAGCACCGAGTACTGCGTCACAGTACCTGTAACAGAATATCTGTCGTATAGAAAAACAGAAAATTTTGCCAGCACTATTCAATTCTTAGGCTTGTTATCATTGTTTCATTTTGCTGATTGATAACAAACAGCAGACATAGAAAATCTGGAGATGGAAGATAGTATGGGAATTCCTCAGAGATCTAAAAACAGATCTTCCATATGACACAGCCATCCCACTCCTGGGAATGTACCCACACAAAATGAAATAGCATATGAGAAAGTTTGTTGCTCAGCCGTATTTATTGCAGCTCAATTCACTATAACTAAGATATGGAATTAATTCACATGTACATCAATATATGACTGGTTAAAGAAAATGTGGTATATAAACAACATTGAATACTACTGAGACATAAAAAGAATGAAATCCTGTCTTTTGCCACAAAATCAGTGCAACCGGAAACCATTCTGCTTAATGAAATAAGACAGTCCCAAGAGTATAGATATTATATCTTTTTCATGATCTGAGACACCTAAAATACAGAGTACAAAAAGTGTTATGTTCTAGATGAGTTGAAACTGACATTTTGAGATTTGATTATTGTTTACAGGCTTAGTCGGTATGCTTCAAAAACAGCTTTTTTTTTTTTTTTTCCAATTTGCTGTTTTTTGGAATCTTTACCTAATGGAGTATTAAGCCTGTGATTGCAAAGTGAACTGAAAGTATGCCATTGTAAAATTGAAAATAACTGTATATTACATATAAAATAAAGAAGAAGGGGGATTGGTGGTGAATGCAGGCAGGGGGAGGGTAGTGTGGAAAGTATCACTGTGACCCAAAATCTATACTTCAAAATATGTAAAATTTGTTCACTTTGCATAAATAACAAAATACATTTGGTAAAAAAGAAAACCTATAGATGTAAAAATGGAAGATAAAAGTCTCATTCATCGCTCCACCATTTATCTAACCATATGGCTAAAAGTAAATCGATTCATCTTGCTGAATCTCAGTTTCTTTCTCTGCAAAATGGGTATGATATATACTTTCTTCTCTTTGCTTTCAATGAACATCAGATAACTATTATCTGGGATAGTTCTTTGAACAGTTTAAAGTTTGTTAGAAATTTTGGATTATTAATGGGTTACTTTCTGGTTTTGTAATTCTGTGTACACAGCCTGATGCTAAAAGTCATAGCATATCCATCAATGTAAGCTGCAGACTAGATGGGGAAACGGAATTAGATGAGTGTATGTTACTAATGTTTATTCTTTGATTAGAACACCAATCACACTGGTCATCTCTTTTCACACTCTTACTAGATTTACTTTTCTCTCTCTTACTAGATTTGCCACATGGGGCATTTTTTGTAAACACCTCATGGATGGAGCCTATATCTACTTAGGCTACTATGCCAGTTATTAGCTATCAGTCATCTCATTCAGTCCTTATGGTAACCTGGTGGGGACAGATCACAGGACCTGTTTCTATGAAAGTCCTGGATCAACAAGTGGGAACTTTCATGTGTCTGATTTGTATCTTAACCAGATTGCTGCAGAATGCTTGATTGTTGTGTAGATACAATTGTCCCAGTTGCTAGTGCCACCAGCAGGGTATACAGAGATCTGTTTCACCATATTCCTGCAGAACTTTTTTTTGTAGAATATGCTTGTTTTCTGTGACTGACTTAAAAACTAGAGATGTGCAAGTTGGAAGGAGAGCTGAGAGACTGCCATGGCAGTCAAGGCCTATGTGAAAGGAACCTGCATCCGGTGATGAGTAAATCTATCAAATGTAAATTCATCATGAATCATTTTCTATGCATGTATTACATGGGCACTTCAAAAATTTTGTGGACATATTGAATTAAAATGTCTAATTTGGTACAAAAATCTTTTGGAATCATGTGTAATTTTCTTTATAACAGGCATTATCTATGAACATTTAAGAAAGTTCTTTTTATTAGTTGAAAGGTAGAGTTACATAGTGAGTAGGACAGAGAGAATTAGAGAGACAGATCTTCCATCCTCTGATACACTCCCCAAATGGCTGCAGTGACTTGAATTGGATCAATCCGTAACCAGGAGCCAGAAGATTCTTCCAGGTCTCCCACATGGGTGCAGAGGCCCAAGGATTTGGACCATCCTCTGATGCTTTTCCTCGCCATTAGTAGGATTGAAAGTGGAGCCGCCAAAAGTTGAAGTGGCATCTATGTGGCATTCACGTGCCACACGCAGAGGCTTAGCATGCTACACCTTGATGCCGCCCCATCCATGAACGTTCTGACGACCCCTCTGTGCACAGTTATAAAAATTTTTCTACTGAAATGAACTGAATCATTCAATTTCATTCTCCACAAAGTTTTTGAAGTACTCTCATATGGGTCTGACTCTGTACTAAATGGATTAGTACCTAATTTAATTTAACACTCAGTATTTTTGTACAAAAGTGAATTATTAGACCTGATGAATTAACTGAGGAAACTCAAGACTTGGGGAATTTATATGGTACACCCAACGCATATTAGACTGTAGAGTTTGGGTTCAAATTGACTTTCTGGAGGAATAGCTGCCAGAAAAATCACCCCCCCCCCAAAAAAGCTAAAAATATTAATGGTCAAAAAGAATGGAAGGCATAGAAGGTAGCCTAGAGAACTCTGATACTGAGTAGTAAGTTGTTTGGCTAACCATCCAAGATGGTGCTATTTTGTCTTCCAGGGGATGCTGACAGTTTCAGCAAAATGCGGCCTCCAGTAGAAAAGCAAACCATCATCCGGCCCCCAGTGAGGCCCCCAGACCCTCCCTGCCGGGCAGCTATTCCCCAAAAGCCAGAAACAAAGCCAGATGTAGTAGCTGGCAATGCGGGGGAAATTCCATCATCCGTGTAAGTAGTCTTATTTTTCAACCTTGACCCAAGATCCATCTTAGGCCACCAGGAATGCTTGTGGAGTTAACATGTGTGAGGTGTAGAACACACAACCCTGGGCCACTGTTGACTTTACAGGCCAGGGGAATACCATGGGCCAGCCTTATTTGGAATGGGTCTCAACACTGAAGACCTAGAAATTTCCCTAAAGCTGAAGACTGGACTTGGTTGTTTGCTAGGAGACCCATTTTTCTTACCTCTGTAGGCTGACAAAATTCTCTTCTGTTGTTAGCTCCCTTGGCTCGGGAATTTTTTGTTGTTATTATGTTGTTATGTCTTGTCGCTGCCCCTGATTTGAAAAGCAATTTCATGCAGAGTTGTTCATTGCACTAGTGCTTGAGGCATTTTTTTTTCTTTTGGGGGTAAGGTAGGAATTTCTAAAATCTTCCAAAATGACTGAAATTTTTCTGCAGAGATCCTTGTCGGGAAAGAACTAATCTGACACCTGGCAGGCCGGCTAGAGGCTTGGCTACAGGCCAAGAACCCAGGCAATGAATGACCAGCATAAGAATACAGCAGCTCCCGGGGGGAGCAGCCTGGCCTTGGCCACAGCCAGCACCACTGGCCTCTTGTCAACCAGGGATTAAAATCTCTCAGTATACTGCCTCCTTCTCTACCCTTCTTTTTTGATCTTATATTTTTCCAAACTGTAAAATCAGGGAAAGAAGAAAAACAAGGCCTCCACAACTTTGACTAATTAGCTACATGTGTCTACCAAATGTCAAAAATTACACTTTAATGCCAAAGACTGATTTCACTATTCCTCCCCGCACCCACCCCCTCCAAAGAAGGCCTGAATGAGTAATACATTTCAACCATTCTGAACCAACAGGCAGCAAGGATATCATCTTTCACCTTTGGAGTGACCAAAGGTTCTGGGACATTTCCCAATCTGATATTTGCATTTCTCCAGTAAAGAGTTTGCTGTTGGTGGCCCATTGGGTCAGAGGCCTTTGCTTTTCCTGTTGGCCAGTTGTTCTCATGTATATTCTGGAACAGCTCACAGATCTTGATTGGCTTGTGTTTGCAGGGTGGCTTCCAGGACCAGGTTCTTTGAAACAGCTTCCCGGAAAACAGGAAGGTAAGAGACACAGGTGATGGAAGATAAGTCAAATCACTATTGGCTCTTACTCCTGCCTCCTCATGATGCTCTGGTCCTGTTTGTCTGTAACCCTGTCACTTTCCCTTTGCTACTTTTCAATACATCAATCTTGGTTTTTTTTTTCTTTTTGTCTCTCTCTTGTGTATTCTCACACTGTTTCTATCGTTCCTCTTCACTTCCTGTCACTCTTTTGATTTCTTTGCGTCCCTCTTTCTGTATCTTGTTCATTTCTTACTCTGACCCTCTTTCTTTCTTTGTCTCTCAAACATATACTCAAAAATGTTTGTACACATACGTACATACATACATACACATTCCCACATGCACCCTAAACTGTATTGCAAAAACTTTATACCCAATGCAGCTCTCATTATATATATATATATATATATATATATATATATATATATAAAACAGCTGAACAGGCAGATGCAGAATATAACACTCTAATGTAAACAGCCTTAGGATAAGAATGATTTCGATTTCAAGCATTTGATTGAGGTAGTGGTTCTAAAACTGGTGGCACATCTAACTGTCCTGGAAAATTTAGTGGGGAAAAAAATCAGATTCCTGACTTCTGCTCTAGATTCACAAAATAGAATCTCCGGGAGTGAGGCCTAGGGATCTTACTTTTTGTTTTATTTTGCTTTGTCACCTTGAGAAAGAAAAGCAGACAAAAAAAAGTTTGCTGGGGAGGAAAGGGAGAAGGAGGGCGCATGCACAAGCCTAATGTTCTGCCTAAGGATACACCTGTGTATAAGACCGCTTCCTGGTGGGCCCTGCTCCCTCGCTTTGAAGTCAATGCCAAGGAAGTGGAATGATGTACATTGGAATGGATGAAATGAACTAGACATACCTACAGGGAAGAATTTTGGAGGAGGTGGTATTTGAACTGACCCTTGGAAAAGAAATGGAGAGACACAGAAAAATATGAGAGGATTGATCTCTGAGCAGAGAACCAGGGCACTGAGAAGGGAATATGGTGGAGGCATGAAGAAAGTCTGATAAACGTTAAGGCCAGCAGGCTCCTACTAAAGTAGCAATATCCAAAGTGTTGAAAAAGACTGGGAATCATTACCAAGGAACTGGGTCTTGACAGTCATTGCTTAGGAAATCTTTTGAACAACCATAGCTTAAGGGGACTATAGCCAAAGCAAACTCTTCGGTGAGGTACCAATTTACCTATTCCACATCTGGTTTGGATTTAATCCTGTCCTTTACCCCCAGATTCTCATCTTGGCCTGAGTGCAGGTAATACCAAAGTGAGTACACCTGCCCTCCAGGATGTCATGCATCACCATCCTTAGTATCCACAACAGGTCCTTCCATCTGCCTGAAGAAAACATCCATTCAGTTTACATGAAGAAAGCATCCCTTTCATCTAGGTCTCAGTGCATTCCCGTGCTGGCCACTTCTCAGTATCCTCAGACAAATCCTACAACCAGTCCTGTCTGTGGTCATTGTTGCCAGGCTATTCCCCCATTTCTAAGGAAAAGGGGCATATATTTAACCTTTGTCTTGCAACTCCTTGCTTCCTACTCATATACATGACTATAGCCTGACATTAGACTGGTATCATTCTCCCATTAGTTTCCATTCCCTAATAGTTTAAAAATATAACTCATAAGAAAATGAATAGTGGTTCATTAAGCAGAGAAGGGTAGAGAAAGAGAGAAGAGAAGGGAGGGAAGGGCATTTCACAGAGGCAGGGAAGCTGTAAGCAAGACAGGCTCAGAAGCAGTTAGTGTTCCGTTATGGCTGCCATGTGGACATGAGAAGAGAGAGCTTAGCTGAAGTTAAGAACAGGAAATGGATTGGGGCACCCTTATATGACTTACTGTTTGGTCTTTATTCTACAGACTATGCTAATGGTGTGGTAGGAATCACGGAAGGTTTTTTAAGCATAATAATGCATATTGTAAGCTGAATGCATTATAAAAAATGGCTCTTGTGGTTACAGGGAAAAAAAAGATGGTTAAGATTGGAGGCAAGGTGGCCTATTAGGAGACTTATTATCCTTGCAAGAGTTCACAAAGTCTCAACCTATGGAATACCCGGTGGAAATAAAAGGGAAGGGACATAGAGGGCTCAATAACACCCTGCTGAATTTTCAAAATTGGGACATTGGAGAAGGAAAGTCTGACTTGAGCAATTATGAATATAATTACTCATGGAATAGGTTCTGTCAAAAAGTCGCTATGCCTGATTTTTGAATACTGATTTTGATGACACCATAGGAGATCCGAGGAGAGATGTACAGTGTACAACCACAACTTAGGTTAGTACTTGGGACTGGACCTATGTAGGTTTAGGGATGGAAATGCTGAGTGCAGATGCAATATAAATCCAAATGTGAAAAGTAGCATTCACCAAGTACTATGGTATGAATAATTAGCCCTGTGAGTGGAGGTCCCCAGTTTTCAGTGATAGAAAAATCATTGAGGTAGCAGGAATTGATTGATGGGAAAAGAGAGAAGCAGAAGGCTGAGGGCATAGCCATGGGGGTCGTATGTACTGTGCAATGCTTTAGCCATACTGTAAAGGACTGTATTCTGACAACTGTTCTCTCCAGTTGTCCTCAGATAAGGTTAGGATAGGACTTAAATAAGCATATCAAGAGGCTGACCAGAGCTGATTTGGTTTTTGAGACACAGCTGTATTCATTTTTCCTCCTCACCATTCTATTAGAGAAAAAAAAAATCACAGAATGAAGTCTGTAGTCTTGGGTCAGCTTCTCTGAGCTGTTCCAGCCTCCCGTGTAAGGATTGTTCTGACATTTGAAAGATGTCTTTGTGTCTGAAAGGCTGAGCTCTCTAAACTTGCTAGATAAGTAGCCCAACCTTTAAGCGTTTTGAAACCTGCAGTCAGTCATTCTGTCATTTTCCAAATGGTCTATTCAGTACTGACCTGGAAGGGTCCACAGTTCCCTTTCTTTGCCTCTGCAGTCCCGATTTCTGGAGTAATAATGACATTTGTTCTTCCTTTGCAGTTCTCAAGGCAGAGTTCCTGGAGATGAGAGTTGAGGCCACAGGTTTGTAGTCTCCACCCATGATCACAGAGCCTTCTTGATGAGATCTGAGTTGTTGAGGACTAGAACATCATGTAGATCCAGAGGAAAGGACCTCACCTCCATAACACATAGCCTTTAAACCTAGTGCCTTTCTATTCTGAAGTTTTATGTGATTTTTAAGTCACTTTTCTCTTTCTTTCTCTGCTAAAAAGTATTTTGTAGTTTTACAGATTTCTTCAGTTGAATTCATTAGGAATCATAGGCTGTGATATTTTATGCAAGTACATTCCCTTCTTGTAGACACAATTTCTTAGTGTTAAAATTAGAAGATTGGAACCTTCCTATTCTGATATCATTTGATTCTTTTTTTTTAGAGAGAGAAATTTGTATATTTGAAGCTGAGTGTCACAGAGATGGAGAAAAGGAGAGAGAGAGATGGGAAAGGAGGAGGGAGGGAGGAGAAGGTGAAGGGGGCAGGAGGAAGGTAATATAGGAGGGAGGGAGAAACAGAGAGAGAGAGAGAGAGAAAGAGTCTTCCATCCTTTGGCTTACTCCTCAGATGGACACAGTGGACAGGGATGGACAAGTCAAAAGTCAGAATCCAGGAGCTTCTTCTGGGTCTCCTACATGAGAACAGGGTCACAAACACTTGAACCATATGCTGCTGCTCTCCTATGTGCATTAGCAGGGAGGTGGATCAGAAGTGGAGCAGCCAAGCCATGAGCCAGCACCTATATGGGATGCTGGTATCACAGGCAGAATCTTAACCCACTAGACATTGACTAGACTAGACTAGGTTAGACCCTCATTTGGTTCTGTAAAGAAATTAGTAACCTTTTCTTAGAGATGGAAAGAGAGGCCACCTGAGAATTTGTGGAGGGGCCTCATTTCTTTAGACCAAATTAGTATTCCAGTATTACCACTTGGTCCCTTCTATTAGTCTAATGTAAAGCAATTTCACCTTCATTATCTCATTTGACCCACATAGCATGCCAGAGGTATGGAGGCTAATACAAGTATGTGTTCTAACTCAGCGAATAAAGGAACAGGAGCTGAGTTTCTGATGCAGAGAAGTGACATGTTTAAGGTCACAAATCAGGGAAATTCCTTTGTTAACACAGAAGTTCTGGTTGGCTTGACTATCCAGTTTCTGGTATGACCTGAAGAAATATGTACAAGTAAGTGAAATTCAAGTATCTAGAGCTTGGCTCCTCATGTGCTCCCTAGCCTTCCATTCTCTTCCTGTCACTTCTTGTTTCAGAGATCCTTGTTGGTAATCTTTGTCAATTCCAAGGGGGTGAAGTCCCAAGAAAAGGAAGTTTAGGGTTATTGGAGATCCATAAGCCCATGGGTATGATGCATCTTGGGTAACGTCAGCAGTTTTCTTATCAGGCTTTATTATTATTACATCAGGTAGACATTTGGGGAGTTAGAGTGAAAATGGTGGCACAGAATCTTTGACCCTGATTATTATGCCTTCATGGCCTTTTTCATGGAATCTGATTTGTAGACGCCATTTCCCAGCAAGCCTCTGTTGCTCAGAAGATTGACTACCAATTATAGATGCAGCTAGCTACCTAATCTACTCGGAGAGGGCCATAGCTTAGAGGCTGGTAGATGCTTGGCTAATCCTAACTAACTCTACTTTCTTCCTTTCCTTTTAGGTTGTAAAAGCCTTGGCCACAGGGGACCCTTTCAAGGTTCTGAAAGTGTCTTCTCCCTACCCTAGTGTGCTGAGTCCTTTTGTGCTGAAGAGCAGCTCCTTCCTGGTCCTGCACAGTCAGGCTCTAGGAAGCCATAAAATAAGGGGCACATGTCATAGACAAGTGCTTATTTCTCCTTTGTGTTCTGTCTTCATGCCCTCAGAAGGTTCATCTTGAGTTCCTGCAACACTGTGAATGATGGCACTCCCTCAGGCCTGCTGAAACCAAGATGCCCACTGACCTGAGTCGAAGAGAAGACCCAAATTTTCAACCCTTGCCTGATTTTCTTGCTCCTTCAAAGGGCCATCAGATGCTGGCAGATTTGGGACTAAATAACAGTTGGTGCCAGGGGTCTTATTCTGAACTAAAGGCCACTCGAGTTAGGGCTGTTGCTTCTGTTGGATGGAGGGGAGTAGGGATGTTTGCTGATTATTGGAGAATTTTAACATACCCCTTACTAAGGATTTGGACAGTGATGCCAGGTTGGCCCTCTGCTACCACAGTATGTTGTGAAGAGCCACTTTGCTTCTATGAGGTCAGACAGCATGGGTGATGCCCCACTACTCTCCATGTGGACCTAGCAAGATGGCCTTCCTGCTCCTGCATACAACCGCTTAGGACAAATTTGCAAAGCATGATTTGCATGTCACAGCCTAGGTCTATCTGGATTATTATTTCTCCTGTTTTCACCTGAAGGAGTCCAAGGAATCAAGGGGGAAAAAAAAACCCAAAAACTGCCAACATTACTTCTAAAAATGGAGACTGTGCTTGTCCTGTAAGAATTCCATAATTGTGTCAAAATTGTTCAGATGCATTGAAGCAAAGAACCTGTCATTGTTGCTTCACTTTTGATTTCTGAAGATAAGTTCTTTGATCTCCCGAAAGAAGCCCTTCTTAACCCAGTGTCCATAGATTCAGAGATTCCACAATACCCCTAAGATGGTATATAGAATTCCATGATACTATGCTTTTTTGGGGGAGATGATCGGTAACATTCTAGTGAATTTCAAATGGGCTTGTGACCCAATAAAGCTTAAGAACCATAGCCCTTCAAATATGACTCTTTGTATGTTCCATGAAATATTCGATTGGACAGACCTTAAAAATAATTTAATCTATCTACTGTATAGTCTTGGAAGCTGAATGATAGCACCAAGACAGGGCTCCGGATCCTTGGATGTCTATATGAGGGTCATTCATTCCACTACACTAATCTAGCAAAGGGCTTTCTGGATAGTTGCTTTGGAGCCCATCATTCTTGAAGGTTTATCTTTTGCCCTCTTTCTTGAGTGCTGCATATTTGCAACCAAGTGGTAAATGCAGGCATAAGCCCCTGATAGGTAAGAAATCTGAGTAGTAGACATTTCTAATTACTGTTTGTGAAAAGGAAGTTTCTGGAAACAGTGTTGGTTCACTTGTTCCCACGCAGATGACTGGGAGCCACAGCCTGACTTCAGAGTCTGGGTAATTCAGTTGTTTCCCAGTAGGAAAGAAGGGCTTTCCCCAACTTGCACTCGTTATAGCAAGGTCCTACAAGTGCATTGAGTGTAGTACTGAGAAAAAAAAATATGCGGAGAAAAAGAGAGAGTGAGCAAGATCACATACCATGTGCTCAAACCAACTCTGTGATGCCTTAGAAGCAATGAAACTAAGACTGTACTCACTTCCAAGATGGAACTCCAGACATTGTATCTTGATTGATTAGGGACATATCTGCCAAATATCCTGAGAGCCTTTGTGAAAACAATTGAATGGAAACTTGATGCTATTCTAAATCAAGACATGCCCAGGTGGCCACATTGAATTCTCTTCATTTTATCCAGTCTCAAAGGCTTAGTTGCTAAGAAACCAGCAGCCAGAGAGGCAAAAGTGCACCTGCTGCTGTCCCCAAAGGTAGTCTCTTGGGAAGCTTATTGAGCTCTGGTCTCAGAGCTGTGGTCTTCTTGCTCTCTCCTGCTACGTGTATCAATAAAGCTGGTAGGTATGCGGAATTTCACCATAGGAACATTTTCCAAAGGGGCCACAGTACCTTTTGAAGATGGTGGAGGCATGGTTTCACATTGGATTCCTTTAGAAAAGTACCATCATCATCACTACAAAAATTGAAAGTGTATTGGGAGCTGGAGAAATCCACTGTGATCTGAGTGCAATTGTTATACAGAAACATAGTGTGAGAGTGCTGAGGGTGGCCTGGGTCATGAGAGACTAGGTTGGAGAGTTGGGACCACCACTCTGGATGGGGACCAGGAAACTCTGCCTGCACTTGGTTATACACAAAGAATGCCAAGAGTGAAACTTTGACATTCTGATTTAAAGAACATTGTAGGGCCTGGCGCGGTAGCCTAGCAGCTAAAGTCCTTGCTTTGAATGTGCCAGGATCCCATATGGGTGCTGCTTCTAATCCCAGCGACCCCGCTTCCTATCCAGTTCCCTGCCTGTGGCCTGGGAAAGCAATCAAGGACGGCCCAAAGCCTCGGGACCCTGAACCCTCGTAGGAGACCCAGAAGAAGCTCCGGGCTCCTAGCTTTGGATTGGCACAACTCCAGTCGTTGTGGCCACTTGTGGAGTGAATCAACGGATGGAAGATCTTTTTCTCTGTCTCTCCTCCTCTCTGTATATCTGACTTTCCAATAAAAATAAATAAATCTTTAAAAAAGAGAACAATGTAGTGAGACATGCTGTTATGGAATGAGACTGGCTTGGCCTAGACTTAATGAATAGTCATTCGAAAGAGGCTGGGGAAGAGGGTGATAATTTGAGAAGGGCAAATATAGGAAATTATCACCTTCCTTTGGGCAGCAGGTGGGAGGAATTGGCAGTTGATGAACTCTGTCTTGAACTGGCAGTACTTACCAAACGATCTCCTATTTATTAAGCAGTTCCTAAGAGCTAGTTACTTCCTACACATCATTCCATATTTTGCTGTACAACAACAACCATATACTATCTACCAATTTTACCATTAAATTATGGCCTGGAAGGATAAAGTGACTGTCTCAAGGGCACAAAGAAATCAATTCCAGAACTTTGATTTAGACGCAGCCTTCTGGGTTTGTGTACTTTGTGGCGTGCTCCCTTTGCCACGTTGAGGTAGGTATTTGAACACAATCCACATTCCTGGAGCTGTCATGGGTGTTGACTCTCATCTACCCCAACAGCTATTTCAAAAGCATTTCAGGAAGTGAGGGGAAGCAAGGAAATGAGAACTAGGCTGAAAGATACTCAAACTGGGATTTTCTTGTCCCCTTCACTTGCACGGTAAGTAATATGTCTAAAAGGCTTATATCATTTCACCTTGCAAAGGATTTATGTTTCAATTGGTTATTGTTAAGCCATTGAACTTGGCCATTTTACAACGGGGGCGGGGGGGGGGAAGATCTTTGTGTATGAGTCTGTACTTCAGCACGGCTGTAACATGTACGGTTTCAGGCCAAGAGTCTGGACACATCTGCACGTGTAGTTTGAGAAGCATGGAAAGGCCCCCAAGCCTCTGTAGCACTTGATGCCTTGACATCAGTTACCTGCGGAATTTTCTATGCTGATAGCTAAAGTCAAAAGATGGGTTAAAAATAAATATTCGTATTGTTAAGTTGTTTTAAAAAAATGTGTGTGTGTGTGTGTCTAGGCAAAGGGGGCAAAACTAAGCATCTGATTTTAGTAAGACGATAATGTCAGAGTATTTCTAAATAATTGGCTGTCGCACAGAAATATTCTTCCCTTTTCAGCCGGTTCCTTGATTCTGTAATAACTAGAGCAAATAAAGTAGTAGAAGAAAAAATACTTCTGTGACTAGAAAACCAATTTCCTAGGAAAACGTGTTGATCAATGATACTGCCATTAAAGTAGCTGCACGCAAGTGGCCTTCACGCATTACAGGCCCAGAAAAAGCTTCAGAAACAATAACAAAACAGTTGCAGGAAGAAGAAGTAAGATATCATGAAGTTATGTTTCCAGTGAAGAAAAGCCTTTATGTTAGTGTAAATATGAAGGTGGTTTTGCCCAAGGACATTCAAAATAGGGCTAAGAAGACTGCCTATGTCATACACACAAATGTGATGTCAGAAAAAAAAATAAGATCCTGGAGCTCATTTCTGTGACTTTTAATAAGATATGCAGATTTTTTAGTTCTAATGGTGTCTATTTTCAGTTTGTCATGGAAATAACTTTTTGGGCATATCAGGTATGAGGGCGCAGTTCTTTCCTGCTACTCATACTCACGCTTTCTTCTACATATCTAAGGAAACTTAGGCACACAATCCTTTTGGAGCCAACACTCTCAAGCTACGGCCTGCTCTGCTCATGACATCATCATTCCCTCAGATGTCAGAGCATCTCTATCTGGTGGGTGTCAGCCTCATCTTAAACACACACACACACACACACACACACGGAGATGAAAAATGATCAGCCCAAGATTGCACACCTAGGAATTTATGAAAGATACAGGCCTGGAAACTCATTAGGCTTTTCTGTTTTTAATACACCATCTTATCCCCGATGGAAATAAAAGAAATCTCAAAAGTAAATGAAGATGCTCAGAAATAGGATTGCTGAAAATGTCTGCTAGTCTTCCTTTTCAAAATGTCATCATCAACCTCATTGTCAGTAGTACATGAAACTTGTGAAGGGTTTGTATTCTTCAGAGCCATTCCACCCATCTGGAGTCAGAGTCTGTATTCTGTCTTAAAAAATAATTGTTTATTTGAAAGAGCTATAGAGAAATGGGGGTGGTGGGGAGAGATCTTTGAGCTTCTAGCTCACTTTTTACATGGCTGCAACAGCCAGCACTGGACCAGGCCAAAGCCAGGAGTCAGGGGCTTCTTCTGTTCTCCACGTGGTTGGAAGGGTCCCAAACACCTGGTTCATCCTCTGCTGTTTTACCACACCACTAGCAGAGAGCTGAGTGAGAAGAAGCACAGCAGCACCTATATGGAGTGTCTTCATTACAGATGGTGGCTTTAGCCACTATACTACATTGCTGGATCCTAGAATCTGTATTGTAATAACATCTGCACAAGGTTACTGTGGCCACTAAAGTTTTTGAAGCACTCATATATGGCATTCAAGATGCAGATGAGGTTAAGGAGGAAGCCTTTGGAGGGAGAGAAGGACCAAAGCAAGGTGACTAAAGCCAGCCTTGTATGTTGGAGAGTGCTTACAAAGATTGAGCCCAGAGGTGCCAGCTTCTTGCATTTTTTTTTTTTTTTTTTTTTTTTTGCATTTTGCTCCATGCTCTGTTCAGCAGTAAAGGAAGTTTCTGTACTTCAAAGAATAGTGAAACCAACCTACGCAGTAAGAATAGTGAAAGTTACTTGGCTTCAAATTTGAGCAGCAGAGGCAGCAGAAAAGCAAGTTTCAAGGGCCCCGGGTGGGTAGGAAGGGTGTCCAGACAGCCCTGTCACGGCCTCTCAATGCTGAGCAAATCCCTCTCCCTCTCTAGACCTCAAATTGTTTGCATCTAAATTAGGAGTCCCAGGGCTCATTTTTCAGCTTTGACATTGCCTTGTTCTTGGGTGTGGGTTTTGCCACAGCCTGCAACTGTAAAGGAAATGCAGACAATACCATTGACCACTTTCGAGCCAGAGTTCGGTATCCTCAGTTCACATAAGAAGGGAAGCTCCTGAAGGAAGTTTCAATTGTGGCAAAATAACATCAATAGAAACTGTAAGGAACTGAGAGAGGCATGACTGCAGCTAAACAGCTTGAAATTGGCCAGTGTTTTAATTACTTTGCTTTATTTAAAGCAGCTGCTTCAAATCACATCTTGAGGAGTCAGCTCCTATGGCCGGAGTAGGGTTTACTTTAACAATAAAATATACTTGTCAAACTTGAGCCTTTTGGGAGATAGTTTATTTGGGTTAGCAGAGGCTGTGTAAACAGTAGAACAGCTTTCCACCCCTATTTGTCACTTTTCTACCCAGATGATTCCTGTGCCATTAGTTGAAGATCCCTGGCTAGAAACCGACCTCTTAGGAGAGGGTAAGGGGCTTGCCTATGGCTGCACATCAGAGCCAAGTGCAGAAAATGCACTCAGAGGACTAGCACAGGATTCTTCATGGATTTTTACCCCAATTATTTGAAAGGCAGAGAGAAGTCTTTTTACCTGATTCACTCCCGAGATGGCCACAACAGCCAGGGATGGACCAGATGCTAAGGAACTCCTTCTGTGTCTCTCACATTAGTGGCAAGATCCCAAGAACCTGGGTTATCATCCAGCGCCTTCTAGGTGCATTAAGTGGCAGTTCCTCATCTCTGGGTACTAGGACGTGTGGAAAGTCATGAGTTGTTTCCCCCTTTGTCTCTCCCCTTCCCCCAGGAACAACAAGAAAAAATAGCAACTTTCAAAACAATC